TCTAACATTCTGTGATTCTGTGAATGTTTAAGTAAAAAACATGGCGAGGATCGAGCTTTTGGAGAAAGAACCAGTTGCTTTTCTTAGTACCACCGATGCTTTCCAGGGAGGAGTGTGGCCGTGCCTTTGGGGGCTCTTGCCCTGCCGTGTGTGAGAAGTGGCTCATCCCATGCTGAAAATGGTGTGATGTAAAGGCACAGCCATGTTGCTTTGCGGTGCCTTGTCCCAGAGCCAACCTTCAGGCTGCCGGCGTGTCCAGCATGCTCCCTTGGCACGTGTGAGGGGGAGATTTTGCTCCTGGCCAAGCTGCCCTCCTTCCCTCGAACCGTGTGTGGCAGAAGCCTGCGCGAGATGGCAGCTACACAGGGATGGTGAGCTGGGGCCAAGGAGACTTGAGGTGAGTCTCTCTGCAGCCTGGGTATGGTCACCCTTTCCATTGTTCCATCACTTGTGACAAGCATTTTAAAAAACTTGTATCATTTGCAGTTGTGGGAGACCAGCCTGACACACCTACGTATTTTTCTTCTTCCCTCTTTTTTTTTTTAATCATTCTAACTGTATCAAATGCCTCAATTTTCAGGGTAATTTATTGTTTTCAGTTAAACTTTTAGCTGGACGTTTGTGATATTAAAACTTCTGTCAGGATTAAATGTAAATGCCAGGTCAGTCTGATGCACTGTGTTTGGAAAGCTGTCCTGGCTCAAATCAGATCACTGAGGATGTGTCATCTCACCCTCTCCCCTCCTTGTTACCCCAGGTTTCTTGTACTAAGCTGTGTATCCTACATGAAGAGAATCACCTAGGAGCTAGTACAGAGCAACACAGTCTTTTATTTTGGGACAGACGGTTTGATGTTAATCACGTGTCTCATATTAAAATCTTACCCCTGGCCTTTTTAAGCCAAGGTCTGAAGCAGTCTCCTCCAGTCGGGTGCTGGTTCCACTAATAAACACATTTATGTTTATTAACTCCCCTTTCCTCTTTGACAGGATGACTTGCTCTCCTTGAAAGTTGTCAGCGTCCTCCACCACCTCAGCATCAAAAGAGCCATTCAAGTTTTGAGAATAAATAACTTTGAGCCCAACTGTCTGCGCAGGAGGCCGTCTGATGAGGTACTGCTTTTAAGATGAAACTTTGAAGAAGAATAATCTAGGGTTTTTCCCTGCTGTTTCGGATTATTCCTGCTCTGCCCCTCTCCTCCTTTTGCCTCCCTCCTATTTCATTTTGTTTCATTTTCGGTTTCCTTTTTCTCATGTTGTTCTTCCAAGCCTCTTGCTTTGCCATCACTACCTGGAGCACTGATTCTCTTTTTCACCTGTCATGGCCCCAGACTCATGTCCCCTTGACAAATCTCCTGTTCCTAGCCAACAGCTGATTATTTTGGCTTAGTCTCTGATGTTCTGTCTGGACCATAAATCATCTTGAATTCAGTGCACTGTTGCCATGAGTCTTGTGTAACTCTCTGGAAAATTGATGGCTGTGTCAAAATTTTCTGTGTAAAAGGAGTTTGGCCCTGTTACCAGAAGAGGCACTGCCATCAGTTTGTTTTGGAAGCAGCGTGTGCTGGATAGGGCAGTGAATGATGAAGCAACACAGAATCTTGGATTTAGGTTCAGTATGCATATCTGCAAGAAAAGCACAGCAACTCATGGAGCTTGTTAAATTTGCAGTTCTACTGGTAGAAATTGCAAGTAGTCCCTAGTGCACAGCAGGATAATCAAATGGCATAAAGCATAATAAGCCCTGCCTACTGGGCAGAACCATCTCCACGTTGGTATTGCTGCAAGATAGCAATCTAAAAAAAGGACTTTTTACTGAAGGGCAAAGTGAGCTTGTATTCATTAAGCGCAGGAGAGATTTGTTTCAGTAAAGATTGGAGGTGTAACAGCTGAGTCAGGAAGTCTCCTTAACTGCCTGTTCCTCCTGTTCACAGAATAATGTCACACCGTCTGAGGTCACCCAGTGGACCAATCATCGGGTGATGGAGTGGTTGCGCTCTGTTGATCTGGCAGAGTATGCTCCTAATCTGCGGGGAAGTGGCGTGCATGGGGGACTGATGGTAAGGTTTTAGGCTGGTTTATTCAATTTTATTTAAAAAAATATGGCTGAGAATTGCTAGAGCCAAGTTCTGACGTTCTTTGTGCTGCACAAACCTTATTCTCTTATTATACTTAACAATAAGTCACTATCAAAATTCATTGCCCTGTAGTTCAAAGGACATTAATACCTTGCGCAGAACTAGTGTGGGCACCAATGGGTTTGATTACCTGTATTCCCCCTCACAAATTTAATTTAGGTATGTTGTTCCCCGCCTCCTGTCCTACGACACTGTGCACTGCTATCACGCTGTTAAACAGACACTGTCTTCCTTCCTAGGCCTGGATATGTTTTTGTTTTGTGAGGAAGGCTTGTTACTTTTGTAAAACTTGAGATTTCAGTGTTAAAGTAGGATTGGTCTTAGTTGTTCTGGCATCACATACTCCAGGTGAGAGACTTACATTGCAGAAGTCTGTTGTGGTGATTAAGAGGTATATCCCTACTCCAAACATTTTATGTCTATTTATTTTCCATCATTCCTCTGGCTACATTTTGTAGAATTAAAGAGGGCAGTGGCTAAATATTTTGTGGTAGCTTCACACATAACATGAGTTAAGGGTGGATTTATCTGTTCCTTTCTTCTTACCTGCCAATTTGTTTCTGTTTTTAACTCAAGAGGGAAAAGTTCTCTTCCTCTTTGTTGTACATTTCCTCTAAAACACAAACAAAAACCCAAAGCAACCTTAGGAAGTGACCAGGTGTCCTGCGTTAAGCTGAGACAGAGTTAACTTTCTTCGTAATAGCTAGCAAGAGGCTGTGTTTTGGATTTGTGCTAAGAGGAAAACTGATAACAGTGATGTTTACCGCTGCTGCCAGGGTCTTTCAGCTTCTCTGCTGTCTGCAGACAGGAGAAGCTGGGAGGGAGCACAGCCCCACTCACTAGCCTAGGATTTGATCTAAGGTTTGGGATTGAGTCCAAAGAAAAATCACGGTGTATCACTCATTTGTATATTTGTGTATACTATTATTTTCAATATTATTGTAGTTTAATTATTAAATTGTTCTTATCTCAACCCACAAGTCCTTTTTTTCCCTTTACCCCTTTAATTCCCTCCCCCATCCTCAGGAGGGGGAAGGGTGAGCGAATGGGTTGTATGGGTTGGCTCCCAGCCAAGGGTAAATCCATCACACCAGAATAGGCATGCCTGTTGATTCCCTTGAGACCTCATCAGACAATACTGGCTTCAGCTGGATTCTCTGTGATTTGATTAATAGGTTTTGGAGCCTCGTTTCAATGTAGAAACCATGGCACAGTTGCTGAACATCCCACCAAACAAGACACTACTGAGACGGCACTTGGCGACTCATTTCAACCTCCTCATTGGGCAGGAGGCCCAGCAGCAGAAACGCGAAGCCATGGAGTCCCCAGACTATGTCCTCTTAACAGCAACTGCCAAAGTAAAGGTAGGTCACTTGTTCTGGGCCGGTGTGTGAGCTTCCAGGCAGACATTTACATCTCCAGCATGCTGGTTTTATCCATGACTGGAGGGCAGTTCCGTAAGGTCTGAGAAAAGGGGCAGGCTGCTAATGAAAGAAGCGTGGGAGCAGGACTCAGCAGATCTGGGTTTGACGCTTGTGTCTACCATGAACGCACCACATCTCAGTCTCTCATATGCACAGGCAAGAGGTAGCACTCGTGTGTTGTCCTTCGGTCTGTACTATAAGCTTGGAATGGAGGCTGTCTCTTACAATTTATATGCTCATGGTTTAATGCAATGGGGTTCTGATCTCATTTGGGATCCTTTAAATGGTGTTGTCTGAACAGTGGTAGACTGAACAGACACATCTTGTTCTTTTGGATGTAATTATTGTGAAATACAGCTATTCAGAAGATCTTTATTAGAAGAGCAGTGGGGTTTTGACCCTTCATCATCTGCTTACACTGAAATACCAAATGCAAGAGTAAGAGATGTGTCAATTCTTTACTGACTCTTTGACTTCTTGGCAATTTTCTCTTCACTTGTAAGCCAAAGAAACTTGCCTTCAGCAATTTTGGGAGCCTGAGGAAGAAGAAGCAAGATGATGTGGAAGAGTATGTGTGTCCTATGGAGCTGGGACGGGCACCTGGAAGTGGGTCAAAGAAGGGTTTTAAGCCTGGCTTGGATATCCGAGTATATGATGATGATGATTTGGACAGGCTGGAGCAGGTAAGCCAGTTTGAGCAGTTTGGAGTCCTTGACTGTGCTGTCAGGTTTGGTGGAAAAACCTTCCTTTTCCCAGGGAAACCTTCCCTTTGCTTTGGCCTGTGATGGTCCTGACTTCCTGCAGTCACACAGCATTACTAACAAACGTGTGTCTCAACCCAAGGTTCCAGCTGTGAACGCAGTGCCTTTAGGACCTTCTCTGGCATAACTGTCCTTTTCTCTCCCAACAGGGCACACACCTCCTTTGCTCTGACCATGTGGGGTGTAATTAAGCAGTTACATTTTTTGCTGCACTTAATTGCCACACTGTCGTGGCATAAAATGAATCTATTATTCATTCATTATTCTTTATCTGGTTTTTGCAGATGGAAGATTCAGAAGGAACAGTGAGGCAAATAGGAGCGTTTTCTGAAGGCATCAACAACTTGACAGTAAGACTTAAAAGTGGGGTCTGTGGAATAAGATCTCTGTTTCTGTAAGATGGGTATAAACCCCTTGACGGTCACGAGTGTTAAATAGGGGTGCTATGGCGAGCTAATGGGAGCTCCCATTAAACAGCAGTGCTATTTAATACAAATACACAAGGTACAAGTTTTCTTCACTATTACTGGCTCTGTCAAGCAACTGAATTTTGTGGTTTTGGAGGCAGTTGCTTTGTATGATTTCAATGTATAGCAAGACATAGTCTTTGGATGGAGTGAAGTGCCACTGGTGTCTGAACTAGGGGTCAGATGAGGTCCTCTGGGTTTTGTACAGGGACAGAGGGGAAAAGAAAAATTAGCAGTTAAGGAAGGTACCTGCCCATCCTGGCTTGGAGGTTCCCCTGGCCAGGTATGGTGCCTGTGGTCACCAGCCCTCTTTGCTGACTCTCCACCCTCCAGGGAGGGCAGAGGACGTGGCACCCAGCTGTAAGCCGGCAGGTTGCCCTTGGGTTGGCAACTGAGGGTCATGGCTGCATTTTCTTGGTGGAAGCCCAGCTGCAGCCTGCATGCCCCCAGCCATTTGGGCCAGCAGGAAGGGGACTGAACTGTGAGCTGATCCGGAACCAGCGCGGGTGAAAAATGTCCTCAGCAGAATGAAGCAGTGGCTGGCAGGGCTGATGGCAGTGTTTGCTGCTGGGCATAGGACTGGACCATCACAGGGGCTTGATTTTAGTTGTGAGGGCCTGAACTTTGACTCTTCCCTCCTTTCCTTTCTAGCACATGTTGAAGGAAGATGACATGTTTAAAGACTTTGCAACTCGCTCTCCAAGCACCAGTATAACAGATGAGGACTCCAACGTGTGACAGTAACCACCAGGCACTGACAAAGGCTCACTTTCCAATGTGCAAGAAACGTCATCATTATACATGACGGGCAGCAGATCACGTACATTGCATTGCTCCTGCTTCTCTTTGTTAGAAGTAATACTGGAGGGTGGAGAATTTAAGAAAAGAAAAAAGGAGGGTAAAAAATAAAAGGTGCCTACTCTAAAGTTGCCATAAGAAACACCCAGACACTGGTGAATGGTAATTGTTTTTACTATATTTAATGTACAAACTGGTGATACGTTTCAGAGTGTTGCATTTAAATTTACGTGGTATCACAGTGCTCCTTTTGTTTATTCAGATAATCCTTTATACTGTTTCAAAATAACAGAGGATGTTTAGGTAGAAGTGTTGCGTCTGTAGATATTGTGCATCAGCTTTCTCTAGGCTCTCAGCTGAAAATAAGACGTTACTGCTCTTTTTCAAGTGCATTTGTTCAGCACAAATACCAGTTCTGCCCTTCCTACGGTATCCAATGTAGGATTTTAGTCATCCATGCCCTGCATAAACTCCTTGGTTGCTCTTGACTGTTGCTCTTATTTTTATACTGTTTTATTAAAAAAAAAAAGGAAATAAAAAGAAAAAAGAATTATATGAAGTACATATAAAAGCAAAAATTTAAATTTTGTGAGATAGAGTGATGGAAAGTGTGAGGTGTAGGGGAAAGGGAGAGGGTTGTAAAAAGATTATCACAGTTTGCGTACCAGCTGGTTACTGGAAAAGGCAGGCTGACCTTTGGAACTCTTTGCTTTCGTGGCTTTTTACTAAGTGCACAGTTTAATGATCTTCCATTTGGGATGAAACAATTATAAAGCATGTTTCTTCTAGCAGTGACTCCTACAGAAACTGCACATTTTAAAATGTCATCTTTCTTGATCCCAGCAGCAGTAGTTATAGCATTCAAACAAGGTTATTAACCCTTCTGTGAGTTGAGAGTACTCCCTGCGTATGGAAGGGATATTTCTGTGCTGTGACTAACGTAAAGATGGTGTAGTTGCAAAAAAAAAAAAAAAGTTATATAGAGAAATGTATAGGAAATATATTATTTCATAATATTAAACCTAAGGTGGGACTCTTCCTCCAAAATTAAAATACCAAACATTGCTCATCATTTTATCTTTTAAAGCACAGCTCCTCTGCTTTTGAAAATCATCAGATTTTTAAAATCATCAGATACTTTTTAAAATCATCAGATTTTTAAAAAGACTTCCACTAGCCAGTGGAAGTATTTTGTCAGACTTTCAGTATTGTGAGGTGTCCTAGCCAAAAGCCATCAAAAAAAAAAGTAACTTTATCACAGTGGTCATTTGTATGGTGTTCAACATTGCATGTATTTTAGCATGGTGGCATGAAGCTTCTTTGCTTTGTAAAGGCAAAAAAAGTACAGCTGGACTTGTTCCTTGCAGTGGCGTGTTGCTTTACCAAGTGCTTGTCACTCCTTTCATCGCTCTCCTTACTGGAAGTGAGACTGTTTCTGGCACATTGCTGGTGCGGTGCCAAGGATGTTAGGTTTGTGCTGGCTTTGTGGGTACTTCTGAAATACTATTACCAAAGTTAGGATAGGAAGAAAGGTTCTTTCAGGGGCTTCCAGGGAGCTCCCATCAGATGTTGGGGTAGATGGGAGACATATTCTAGCATTATATTATTGTAACCTGAGATGCTATGCTGGCCTGGTTCTTTGAAGGATGTGCAGCATGGGCTATTATGTACCAAGATGAAAAATTTCATGTGGACTGGTTGTGTTATATGCAATATCAAGCACTGCCATTTTCTCTTGAGTAACTGGAGCCAGGCAAACAATCCTTAATGTATACATAAAATAGTTGGTGCTGCTTACTATTTGTCTACAAACAGATCACAACTGATGCTTTATTCAAAATTCCTGACTAAGTAATGTCCACAAATGATTTGCCATCTATTGTTTCTTCCTCTGCAGCCTTGTGGGTGTTTGAGTTATTTTATTCGAGCAGAAATACCACATTGTGTAACGTCTGCTGTCAGCTTTAGGGTGCAGATGCTTGGGATGTGAATTCAGGGCTTGCTTGCTGTGAATGCTCACAATATGGTTATCATTTGCGTGTCAGCTGGGTTTAAGACCCTGCGCTCTCAAATGCTGCAGAAGCACTGGGAAGACGTGGTGCAGGCTTCTGAGCAAAAAGGTTCCTCCAGATTCACTCTCACTAAATGCTGGCTAGTGAATGTAACAACTGGATATTCACTGGGGGGGGGCTGGGGGGAAGGAGGCTAGTGACACATTATGTGCTTAAATAGGCACAAACAAATACTCTCCGATTTCTCTTCAGTCCAGTGCTATTAGCAAGCATATCAACAACAGCAGGTGATGGTTTAAGTCCAGTGTAAGTAGCATTCTGCTCCAAACAACCCTTTTCCTGTGTTTACCAGTTGGAAACCAGGTCGTCCCTTCGAAGCTGCCTGTCATCTGAACCTTGGTTATTTTATGGGGGTGGAATACAAAAGCAAGTGATAAAGTCAGGAAGTTTATGTGCGCATGTGCACACAGTCAGTACTGTTGGGGTATTTTAATTTGTGCGTGTTTGAAGAGGGCAACATAACTACTGTGTATTGCCATGTAAAATCCAATAAAATATGTGGAAAATGCCAAGTGTTTCTGGAAGCTACTTTCTTCATAATGTATCCTCTTTTTTTTCTTTTTTGTTTTCCTAGGAAGCTCATTTTGTTCTATTTAAAAGACAAAGGAGGGAGAAGGGGCAAAATAATGCTTTTTTTTTTTTTTGTGGATTCATTAGTTAGTGCCTGCAGAAAGACTCAGCTAACAGCTAAGAAATCAACTACCCCAGTAGTTGTTTTTACTTATTTCTGGAATCCAGATTTGAACCATCTGGGGTTGGTTGGTATGGTGTGATGAGAAAGCACTTCCCCATTGCTCGGTGTGTGCTCCTTGGCGAGTCCCCACAAGGTGCCAGAGGAAGGACCAGCTCTGGCCCCTGTTGCTGTAAGGGGCAACCGTCTCTCTGCTCCCAAGGGTCGTCCCCATCCCTGTGCCCTCCCAGCCCTCAGCTGTCACAGGAGCTGCACCTACTATACCAACAAGAGTTGAGCTTCCCTGAAGTACATTTTGTTGCTGGGGTGCAGGTACAAATGATGATCAATGTCTTATCCAGCGTAACCCAGATAATAGAGAATGCAGAACCCCTATCTCCTGACCTTCATTTCTGTGGCTTTTGTTCACCAGATCAACATTTGGGTGGGAGCACTGAGGATAAACACTGTTGAAACCTAGAGTATAATAAACATTTGTTGTCTGTCTGTTTGCAGTGATGAGTAAGAGATAGATGTGTATCAATCAAGAGTTTATGGAGACTAAACCCAGCTTTTTTCTGTTCACTTAAATTACATGTATGTTTAGGAATGGAGAAGTAATCTGGAATAACCTCTGGAAAGATTCCTCTGATTCCCATCCACTAGGTATTCTTGCATCCTGGCTTTTCCGCTAGGAGAGACATTGCACTTAACCCTACCTGCGTGCTTTTTGTACCTTGCACTGCTTTGTTGTTGTGAATGCTTAATACATACTTTATGCTTCACCTTAGTGTTCTGGCATTCTTGTTTGCAGGAAGCACTTTTCCTTCTGAGTCTCTTGATTTTTCTACAAACAGAGGACAGTGTTCCTTGAGGCAGCAGAGACAGAAAACCTTCTGATTTGACAGTAGATTTGGAGCAGTGGTCAGCAAGGAGAGAGTATTAGGTACTGGGGTACCCTTGAACAGAAAGGAAATTGGAGTTATAGTCAGCGGTAGCAGGAGAAGCAGCAGCGTGCCCCCTAATCATAGCTGTGAGAAGGTCACGAAGGAATGGAGATGGGCCCATGACACATCTGAAGACCTGTGGAAGAAAAGACATGTGATACACGGGACATGATGTGTTTCTGGGAGAGAGGGACCCAAGGGCAGCAGCAGGACTGACGAGCCCATGCACCTGAGGAGGTGTTTCCCTGGGGTGGCAGGAGCACAGGAACATCTGTAGGCAGAATGAGACAGAGATCAAATGAAGATGTTTTGAGCAATGAGAGGAAAGAGGGCAAAGAAAGAGAGACCCTCATCGCTTCTTCACTGATTCAGAATGAAGAGGAGGAGGAAGAGCAGCGTTCAGCA